CCTCTTGTGTCACTATCTCTAAGGCTTTTCACACCTGCGGCGCCCTTCTACATCCCACGAGAGCTTCTTATGGTATCGACACAAACTTCTTCGAGTAGCGAGCGATGTTTCCACAAGGCATCATCTCGGCGCTAGGCGAGACTAAGGCCAACCACGCAATCTGATGAGCGCATCTGTTCGGCATCTACGATGATCACCGCCGCCTCGTCGGTGCCCCCAGTCGAACGTTGTCGCACTGCGCATCCCGAGCGTCATCTTAGTCTTTGGAAAGCCTTCCATCATCCTGGCGACCGCATTTGTGCACCTCCTCCACTGGGACGCGTTCGAGGCATCGATGAGCCCGAGGTGCAGGAGAAATACGGCGCGTCAAAGTGGGCGGGAATGATCGTGTAAGTTATATTTGTCCTCCTGTGATCATGATGTACCGATACCATTCACTGCACAGGCTGAGCTGCCCACTCCTTATCTTTCTCATCGAATGTACATCCCCAACCTGCACCTTTCATCTCCATTTTCCTCGTAACGTCGTTCCTATCAATGCAGATATCGCCAACTCGTACGTCTACCGCCTCCAGTCGTATTCCTCTGCGCGACCCTCGCCATGCTCTATGCCCTCGCTGTCTTCCGCATCCTCACCTACATCCTCTCCAGCCCAGATCCCTGAACCTTCGATTGGGACTCCGGACCTTATGAAGGGACGAGAAGAGCACGAAGGCGGAGCGAGCCACCTTGCAGGTGACGCGAGCGCGAGAGGTTGACGAGGATGAGGATAGGGAGGTGGAGGTAGATGAGGTCACGCCCCTCGTTATGTCCTCCCGCAATCTTGCACTGTCCAACGCGAACGGCCGCCTACGCCCGGTCGCGCACGCACACACATTCCCGCGTTCGACGCCCCCAGGCGTTGACCACCGAGCCGAATAGTCCAGGAGATGAGACCTTCAAGGACGGGCACCATCCGCACGACCAGCGCGGGTCTCATGCGGCAGAGGGGCTGGTTTGGGCTCGGTGGAGACGACGCAGGTTCAGGATCAAGCTCCAATGACTGCAGAGTGGCAATTAGAGATGGAAAGGGTAGGGAGGGCCGCGCATCGTTCGGCGCGAGCGTTATGCGGGAGCATGAGCGTCGGCGTGTGCACGGGCATAAAGTGAACCATATGCATGCTCACGGGCACTTGCATATGGTTGGCATATGGTCATGGAATCGTGGGGCGGGGACCGGGGCATTCATGAGCATGAGAATGGGGGCGAAGAGGCTGACAGCGGGCATGGAGGCAAGGACGCGGCTCAGAGACAGGTCGGACGGCGGAGGCAGGTGGTCGGCGTCTTGGTGCGTCGTCCTTCTCATCCCGTCCGAAGCGCTCAAGTTGACGTCGCATTCGCGGCGGCAGATGCTCGAGGTGGGCATCATGCTGCAGTCGCTCGTCGTCAGGCTCACGCTCGCGATTATCTCGGGCCCCGAGTTCAGTGCGTACCCCGTTTATCGTCTTCTCTCCGACATGTCGAGCTGATCAGCCCTCGCTCCGCGTCTCTGGTCACTGCAATCATGTTCCACCAGCTGGTTGAGAGCGTCTCGCTCAGAGTCCAGATCGCGACGCTACTTGCGGAGGACGGTAAGTGTGTCTTCTCTCGGCTTTCTTCTGAGTCTTACTGCTTATCTTTGTCTGGGCGGGCAGAGAAGCAACATGAACGCGCTGGCGAGATCGGGTGCTGAAGCCTGCGCTCGCACTTATGTTCGTGGTGACGACGCCCGTGGGGATCGCCATCGGGCTGGCGGTGTTCGGGCCTGGCGAAAGCGAAGGAGGTGCGTGCCACCGTCTCGTTATCTTCTTGGTCTCGGCCTTATGATGCGTTCCACCTCCAGTAAAACTGATCCTGCTCACGGGCGTGATGTCCGCGCTTTCGGCAGGGATGCTCATATATGCGACGTGCGTAGAGATGCTCGCGGGCGACTTTGTGCTCGACCCACATCTGCGGCGCTCTAGTGTCGGCCGGCAGGCTCTCGCGCTGCGCATAATTTTCATTGTCTCCTTCTGGGTATGCGTCTACTTTCAAGTGGGCTGCGCGCTCTCGTGAAGTACCGCGTCAATCCTAGTCTCGGTTCCTCGGTGGTACCTTTGCGGCAGCTCCACTGTCCAATAGCGGGTGAGTAGCTATGATTGCCGACAGTCCACAATGATTCTCATCACTATCAGCGCGTTGGTGTCCGATATCTGGGATGCAGGAAACCG